GAGCCGGTGTCGTTGCAAGGTTAACGTCCTCTTTACTCAAACTGGGCTCATCGATTTCAGGGATAAAACTTAAAAACCAAAAACAAACAATATAATGCATCCAAAAGGTTACATTCAGTGTAAGGCTCAGTAAAAGGGAATTTGCTGTTACCTGTCCGGTTTGGGAGGAGCTGATTTTTGCTGCGCAGCTCTGCTCAGCTCTGAGAAGTACTCCGGCTTCACGATGGGACGACAACACAGCAGAGCAGAGATCGTCTGGGTAAGGAAGGTGGACAAAGCATTAGCACACAGCTGAACCAAACATGCCAACCAGGGTGAAACAGACACTGGATCCAACCTTTATGGTGACTTTGACAGTCGGCATGGCCAGATGGGTGCAATCCGGAGTCCAGCTGTTCACCAGCTTCCCACCCAGAGCTGATAGGGCCTGAGAGAGCGACGTCTTCCCAGCGGCGTCCAAACACGACGAACACACCACTGGTTTCTCCAGGAACACCACACTGAATTTGCTGTGAAAAACACCAAAGACGACATTGTCCCCTGACGACAGCTCAACAGGCGCCGTCAGCTGCTGGCTGTTGACGAAGGTGCCGTATTTGGATGTGTCTTTCAGTGTCAGGGTCTAAAAAGCAAAAAAAAAAAAACCCCAAAACAAAACAAAAGAGAAAGTAGTGAATGCAACACAGTTTTCTAGTCAATTTCAGCACACGTGAATGCCTGACTCCAACTGTTGCATTATTTCTTCTGAACTAAAGAAAATGTCAGAAAATCTTTGCTACAATACATGGACATGCTTCTCAGGAGGCTGACATTTTTTGAATCAAAACCCTTTTGTCTTTTTAGCACTCAAATTTTCTGAGACAGAATTTTACTTTTTTTTTCACTGTGAACCATAATAATTAAAATAGCAGAAATAAGCACTTACAAATGTACCATTCTGTTAATAATTTTCTATGGAATATGCGCCTTTCAAATTTAAATGAAACTACTGAAATAAAAAAACTTATGACTTGATAGTCTGATTGTGCAACTGCAAAAGATTGAAGAAGTTTGTGTTGCATTTTAATAGACAACAGCTCCTCCTGCTGTGCAAAACTATAACAGGACATTTCCAAAACGGATTTCACCACCTGATATTTCCATGTAATAAGGCAAACAGGTGGAAACAGAGAGAAAAAATATTCACATCAAAATGTAAACAATGATTTATGATCTTTGATCTCATATTCATTCCTGTTTGAATCAGGACGCAGAATAAAAATCAACCCAGGAGGAAAACTAAGAGGCTGCGGTTTCTGTTTGTTTTGCTCCTCTTTATTGTTTCTAGAGAATAGTTTGAATGAATGTCTGGCTTGCTGCCATATTATTAAAATTGAGATAGCTATCTTCCCGCTGAGCCCTGTAACAACGATAACAACTAATATATGTTCAAGTGGATGCTAAAGCACAAAGACCCACAATATTTACAAGGGAAACTTCCAGGTAATGGCAGGTTCAGCCTTAATGTTGAGGAATGAGATAAAGTTTACATGAGACACCCTGAATGTCTGGCTGCACTAACATAACAAGAAAGGCATTTTATCTCACTTTTTCAGTATTTAAGAACATATGGATATTATTAAACCTGTAAGTCAAAATCCAGACTATTGACTCCAAAATAATTTGTATTCTCTGCTTGCAGCATTTTACACCAGCAGTTAGTTTAGATGCAACAAGCTAATGAAATTTTATTCAAGGAGTTCTTCATTTCTCTCACCAGATCGGCCACAGCGAGCTGAGCATGAGACCTGCTGATGGACTGGTCACTGGCAAGAAGAATGTCACAGTTTTTCCGGCCAACAACGTACTCTTTACCAGGGAGGAGATAGAATGTCTCACCTGCGAAGAAACAAACAGCAGCTTGACACCTAATAAGACTTAATCTAATACAACGCTACAAAGATGTTCCAGTGATTCAGTTAGCACAACTGGTCAGTCGGCAAAACAATTACATGTTCTATTTGAAGAAGACTTAAGGTTAGCCGTGTACAGTGTCAGTGAGGTGAAAGAAGCCATGTAGAAGGAAATTGTGATTTGAGAGACCTGTCCGAGCTTCAATCAAGCTGCAAAAGAGTGCAAAACCTGAAGCAACACGAAGGCTGAAGAGAGAACATGAAAGCTGCTCTGTTTTGTGCTTTAAGTTGAACATGCAGAGAGAGAGGAGAGAGGTTATCAAACAACTTTACTGGGATAAGGAAGGTGTCAGCTGATCAGTAAAACCTTTTTACCTTATCATCGTACAATACACCAGCTAATATATGTATCAGAGTTGAACCTCCACTGATGACGTCCCATGTTATCACACTGTTAAAGGAAATGTGGTTCATACTGACTTTCATGTTGTACTTTGTCCTTTACTCAGGGTTTTCGTTTTGGATTGACTACTGATAATGCAGTCATGTGACAGCCTTCTGTAGCTCACTTTTTACAGATCCGCTTTTATCTTGCTGCTTTTACGATGACAGGTTAAGGAAATACTTGTTCTTAACAGGAAACACAATAAAAAGACACATTTTTTCTCACTGTCTGAAGTTAAATAAGACGAAACTTATCTCCCTTCAGATCAGTAAGAATTACCAAAATTGCTTCTATTTATCAAATACAACAATAATGGGAGATATTATGTTTTCATATACTGTCTGTCTAGGTTGTTGTGTCCTTGGGAAAAACAGTTCCAAGCTGCTAGAGTTTGATTGTATAGTAGCCTCACTTTTGTCAGTCTGGCTGTGGCTACAATTTTGCTTTCCACCTTCATTGTGTTCATGTGTAAATCAGTCTGTGGATGAATTATTTTAATGGAAATCACTTCAGAATCCTTGCCCTATGCATGTCCATCTGGAAAACCCGAGCTTTAACTTAAAGGCTGACGTCTTCAGATGTTGCTTTAATGTTTCCACATTATGTTCTTTCTTCTTGATACCATTTCACCGTGCATTTTTTATATTACTAAATTGTTGAGAGTTAAATAACACTCATGCTGGCATCAAAGCATGATTATTTTAAGCCAAATAACACTTTTTTGTCTTGAAGAATTTTTGGGGTAAAGTCTTCGATTGATAGCCATGACAAGAGTTAAAGACAATCTATAAATGCTAAGATATAAGAGAGTCTAAAAGAAATCCGATCCAGGATGAAGTACACTTTATTATTTGTTATGATATCAAAATGGATAAATCCATGTTACAGTTTAACATCAGTTATTTAATAAATACAAGCTCAATGCAAAGCTCAAAACTGGAGTCAGACAACCAAACAAAAAGGTTCCCAAAAAACTGTTGCATGAGAAAATCAAAAGATTAAACTGTGTAACATACGGAAAAATTACATAATGTCCAAACATTAAATGTTAAACTGTAAGGTGGTTAATTTAAATGTTAAATGCCAACATGTGTGGCAGCATATTTAGAGAACAAGCAAGAAAGCATGAATGCATTTTTGAAGAGATGCCAAGAGCGATTTTTATCTCTCCATCTCCAAAAAAAGAAAATGTAAATAGTGGTAGCACGGTTCAATTTTGCAGAGCTATCTGTAATAAACTACAAGATTTTTGAAAGAAAAAAAAACTATTTTAATGTAAAACACTATCTTAAGAGAAAGAGAAAAATTGCATCTCAGGAAAAAGATCTGATAGGAACTCTGAATTAAGGCAGTGGAGTAGTCATGATGTGGGCCAAGACATCCTGACCTCTCCTCTGTGCATACAGCAGGCTTTCTTCTGCCAATGTGAGGCTTTCTGTGTGTCACATGAAGACTTACGCGCTGTTCTTAGTTTTTCCACACACAAATCTGCCGTTTCAGCTTCCTCCCTCTTTAGTAAGAGATAAAAAGCTTAACTTTAAACACTTATCCCAACTTTATAATAAGCCACCTGAGATGGGTCATCTCGATCCAAAAGTTATTCGTAAACACACCCACATGTGTTTCAGACCGTCTCACTGCTCATCACACTGCAGGATTTTGCAGTAAATGCCCCACCTTGAAGGGCTTTAACCAAACTTGAACCCGTTAGCCCGCAGCTAGTTTTGAATAAAGTCGCTCAGGGATGAGGAAAGTTTACCTCCGGGCTGCTGAGGAGTCAGTATCCACATGCTTCAGCCTTTAATTCCCTGTTCACTGACTGCAACAGGCTAACAGAGAGAAACAGGTGGACATTTTTTTTTAAGATAAACAAATCCTCTCTACCGTGAACACATTCCCCGCCACTGATGACGTCATAACAAGGCGCCGCTTTCTTCAAAATAAAAGTCCAGATTGAAACTCTGGGAAAGATTACTGGAAGGAAAAGTGAGTTTGTGTTATCATTTGTGTTGTTTAAATGCATTAAATGAAACGTTTGTGATTTGTTAAGTTAAATGCTTGTATTTTATAAAATAAGAATAAAGTTTAAAAAAAATAATTGTTTTGTAGTTATTTTTATACTGTCAACTGTGTCGCAGGACATACAATAATAAAGCAAAATAAATAAAAGTGGATTTCTAGAATATTATCAAAAATGTTTCTGTATGCATCAGTCATTTTTTATGTCAGTCCCTAAATTACTGATCATAACAATTCATTATGATAACTTCATTCATCATCAGTCATAATTTATGTGAATATGTAGTGTGTAAAATAATTGAAAGTAAAAGAAAATAAATAAAGTAAAAGTATTCATTTTTAGTGAACCGTAAGCATAAGACATATGCATAAGCCACTAATGAAAGTACAGAAGGAATGAGAATTATTTTTGCAAATAACAATAAAAGCGATATAAAATTTTGATGAAAGACTAGATAAAATACCAATGGATTATGTTAACAGCTTAGAAGACAATTAGTATTTATTTTGTTGACATTTTTTTCTTTGATGTGGTGCAGACTTGGTAAGATAAAAAAAATAATAAAATGTGGTTTAAATAAATGAATAAATAATCTGTATGGTACAAACAAACAATTTTTTTCTTTTATTGTTGTTTGGTTAGTTCTATTTGCCAAAGCAACATGTGTCTCTTTTACACCAGGTCTTAAAGTAGCATAATCAATGCTACAACAAAGTATTTAACAAAATAATGCAACTCTCAGTTTAACTCAAAGGGCTAAATAATGGCAAGAACTATAACACGTATGTACAAGCATTCAATTTATTAATAGCTCTTATTTTAAATACTACTTTGAACAAAGTAATAAACTCTTTCATAGTCAACAGATGCACAAAATAAAAATTGGTCACAATATTAAAAAAGGAGAATCACAATTGGTTTTTTTTTCTTTGTTATATCTCAACAACCTTCACATTTTTCTATTTTTTTTCCCCCAGAATGGCTTAAATTAAAATAAAGGATCATTGTCAGATTTCCATGGCTGCCCAGCTGGTCTGAGATGTCCTTGTCCCCAGAGACAGGGTAATTTGTGATTGACTCTCATCACAGCAAGACTGGTGCAAGAATCTGGTTTACGAATGACTTCGCACCATTCCGGGTAGTCAACGGGCTTGGTCGCACTGTAGGGAGGAAAAAAGGTAAATGAGAGGAAGACGTCAAGTGAAAATGTCCAGAAAAGGTTCATTTGAACTGCATAAGAAAACAAACTCACAGGTCACAACATCCCACTCCAAAAGGCTCCATGCAGACACACTGGTAGCAATCACTGGTTATCCAGCTCTCCCCAATGCCATACACCTGACCCGTGTATTCACAGCTTGCTGATAAGAATAAGAGAGAGAACCATTTACAAAACAATAAAAAATAATGTGCTAAAAATTTTACTTGAAGGAATGACCAATACACTGCCAGTCAATAATAATTTTCAGATTTGAAAGTAAAGCTTCTCAAAACATTTTTAGTTGATTAAAAACTAAAAATGGCAGTAAAAATAAAATATTTGAAGTTGAGTGTCTCATTAAACATTAGTAACAACACAACATATGATGCTATATTTAAAAGTATGCTTTCTAATTGATGCATTTATTAGCAAAAATGTTAAGTCCTACCTTTAGTGTTGAAGAAGCATTCGCCACTGTTATACACCGAGAAGCACGGCAGACTGACTCCCAGGAGCAACAGTGAAGCCAAAAGTACTTCTCTTGTGTTGGCCATTTCTGGGAAAAAGCTTTGCAAAAGTTAATGAGAAGAATAAAGAAAAAAAAAGCACTGAAAGAACAATGAATCCAATCAAAGGTACAAACCTGCGTCAATTTTTCAGTCCTCCTGATGAAATCTCTCTTCAGACCTTACAGTGTTGTGAGTCAGTTCTTCCTTTGCTCTTTGTTGCAGTCACCGTCGTGATGCCTTCATGTTCCCTTCTCTAATTCTATTCTTTTCTTTGTAAGTCTCCACACCTCCTCCTTGATGCCCCAGAAGAACCGATGCACTTCTTGCCTTTGGTCTCAGATATTTATACTGCACGGCTACAGACTCATCAGCGCCCACTCATGTACTACCTTCTTCTATCTGCACACAAACACATACGCGTGAACACACAAGCATTATGTTCGTCATTGCTTCTCCCCTCCTGAGCATACAGTGTGCAGGCTTTCAGATAACATTTGTCTCAATGGATCCCATTTGACCCCATCTGTTGCAGCCCTGTTCACATCGTCTGTAAGATAGTCAGCCTATAGCTGATTGTTCAAGCTAAGAAGCTGCATTTATGTGTGTAGGAAGGTAAACAACAACCTTTGACCTCCCGCTCAAAGTAAAATTTAGAAAAAGGCAAGTGTGTCTCTGATCGTTCAATGCATCTTTGTAAGAGTAAGGGTATTATTTTTTTTCTTTAACTACTTAATGAAAGATTTTATTCAGTTGGTTTAATTAATAAATCCTTAATTAACGAATGTGAGTCTCAACATGGTTTCATCTGACGACGTAGCTCTATAAATAGTGATGTGCGTCAGTGTGACGTTTGTTGTAAGAAAAATAAATACAATGACCTATGAGGGTTTCTTTGTTTAATTTAAGGTTATTTTTGGCTTTCTAACATTGGTTAAAAAAATGGTGATGGTTGTGTGATGGTCAGGATTTTTTTCTGGAACAGGATGACTCATTGCAATTGGTGGAGCTTTTATTTATGCTTTTGTTTGAACATGAAGAATATTTGACATTCAGTTTGTGACCAAAAACTCAAATCACTTATGCAGAAGAACAATGATCCAAAGAACACCATCGTATCCATGCAAATGAACCTTTGGAGTGACCAAGTAAAAGTTTGAATTTAAATCTTATTCCGTGACATGAACTTAAACAGCCTGTTTTTGAAAATTCTCTAGTGTTTCATTGGTTTGAGTCTTTCTCTTGGATAACACAACATTTTTTTATTAATTGTACATCTACAGCTCTAAAAATAATTTAGACACCACTTAAAATTATCACTTTCTCTGACTTTACTTCTCATAGGTATGTATTTGAGTAAAATGAACATTGTTCTTTTATTCTATGAACTACTGAAATTTCTTGTAAAAAATGAATTTATTTGCAGAAAATGAAAAAATATCAAAATAACAAAAAATGCAGTGCTTTCAGACCTCAAATAATACAAAGAAAACAAGTGCATACTCATTCAGAAACAACAATACTCATGTTATAACCAGGAAGAGTTCAGAAATCAATATTTTCTGTAATAACGAGGAGGTTTTCAGTGGGATTCAATGGAGTGGTCTCTCACTTTTTTTCCAGAACTGTATATGTGTGGGTGCTGTGATGCACTGGTTGCGTACAACATGTTCTGCACTTCTTGTGTTTTCATATGTAGAATCTATTTTATATTTCTGGACACACTGCAATGTAACTGAATACAGTGGAGCAATGGTGGTTCCTGGAAAAAACACCTTCTTTCTTTCTTCCTTCTTCCTTATCCCATGGATGGATGGACGGACATGTGGATGGATGGATGCATGGAGGAAACGTCTTTAAATCGGACTTTATGTGTTTTTTACTGACCACAATTTGCAACAAAATATCAACATGTAACAGAAAACTTTTATTTAAATAAATGCATTTTAGACATACAGTAAAGGTGGGCGTCAATGAAAACAAAACAACAAACATGCATGGGATCATGGAGCAAATGTAATGTTTTTGATGATTTTAGATCAGATTGAGTGCTGACTGATCTTATGACTGATCATACTGAAACACCATCGTCAGCCTGGTGTGATGCAAAAAGACTTTACTTAGTTTTCTGTCCCTTTTTCATTGAATGCACCTAAATAAAATCTTCATTTTATTTATTACCATGTTGCCATAGATTATTTCAAAAAACATTGCTGTTGAGCGTCTCATTTAGTTAAAAATCACATTATTCCTCACATCAGCTCCTACATGCTCAAAAGGATGAAATTTATAGTTTTCTTAATAATTGACTCTTACATAATAAAATGCCCTTTGGAAAAAAAAATCTGAATTCATTGGTAGTTGTTCTATTACAGCCAAAAGCCAAAAAGCATCTTATCATTATATAGAGCAGCTGATGAAATGTTAAAATTAGTAACTGAAGCGTGCAGTTATCTTTTTAATTGAAGCAATATGAGTAATGCATGCAAAGACATGAACAAATCATTCGCCCTGCTTCTGTTTTTAGCCTTGCAGAGAATAAATGCAGAGTTCATACAACAAATGCACACAAAACACAGTTTTTTGAAGAATAATCATGGGACTTAATAGTGAGTTTCCTGTCAATCACATAGGCTAAAAAGCCTGATTCTTGCCTGCTGTAGTAAGACAAAGACTGCTATCTGCATATCTTGTTTTTTCTTTATCTCAAGAACCAGGATCCCAGCAACAGCAGCTGGTTGCTCATGAAGAAGGATCTTCCTGTATACTTTGAAGATACAGTGCATAGTTACAAACTAAATGTTAGTTTTGGAGGATGTGTGTTTAAAAACAAGAACAGTGCAGCTTGAAAATTATTATTTCTTTGTTTTCCATTCCAACCAATGTTCGAAACATTGATAATTTACACAGACTTGGACGGGGTGGGTCATAAATTTATTTCTCAAGCTTTGCTCTCATGATGATACAAACCACAAATATAAAGTGTAGCATCTTTTTACCTGAGCAGCCTCTTTGCGGAAGATCAGACGTCAGTGCCAGACTCTGTAGGAATATGTCTGATATTTAGTTGATACGATGAAGCACAAGAACAACCGAATATCAAACATATCACACAGCCTCTGGCGAATTAGTGGTGGGTTCCTGCAGACTGGTAAAACCTGCTGGGAACAAAAAAAAAAGAAACTCAATGAAGAAAACAATTTGGAAATCCCCCCCTAACAGATATCACCGACAGGCTGGGTGAAAAACTCGAACAACCAGTTCTGCAGGAAATGACACAGGATCAGCCTTCAGGGCTCTGGGCCTCCAACACTGAGAGTCAGAGACACTGCTGACATTTCAGATCATTGTGTGTTTGCATCAGGGAGTGCAGGGTTGAATATCTCTTCTGCATCATTTAGAAACACAAAATGATGATGATACTCACCAGCTTCGCTTATCCAAAGATGTTACTACTGTCTCTTTTGCTTAAATTCAATGGCTAAACAGAAACATTTGAGTGAGTTATTTAAAAAAAATAATTTGATGGTTTGCTTAAAAAAGTAAAAAAAGAAAAAGAAAAGTCTCTCACTGATTTTGGAGTTTAAATGCTTTACTTCGGAAGGGCAGCTTATATTTATACCCGTTGTTTGAGTTTAGGGGGTTGGACCCAATAATCAATCTTTTGGGAACATAGAAACTAACCCTCATGTAATTAGACATATATTGATCAGCTGCTCTAGCCTGCAGCCTTTCCTCCACGCATTAGCCTGATCAATACATGTAATGTTCATCCGACTGTGAACATGCTCACGCAGTACACACACATACACACAGGCATACACACATACAAGCACACACATGAAAGCATATGCAGAGTCAAATAACTTTCAGTTTTTGCCTGTAGGGAGGACAAATGTCAAGCATGATGGTCACTTGATTATGTCCTTTGTTATAGGGATAAAACACTAAATGTAGGATAAAAAAATTGACTCATCCAGTTCAACCAACTTCCTTCAGAAGTCAAATAAGTAATAAACAAAATCCACCTATGTGTAATTATAGATACAGGCCTTCTGTGAAGACCTTCAAGGTTTGTTAGAGAACAAATATATCTTTATGAATATCGCAGGCTGTGGTTGGATTAGACCAACTTTTTTTAAACAAACCATCCCGAGTGCAGAACAAGGTGGCGGCAGCTTATTAACAGGAAATCCTGGAACAAAACCAACAAAAACCAGTAGAGATTGGGGTGGATGATTAACAGCAGGATAGGAACTCTGAGCATAGAGCTCCACTGAATGATTTAGCTCAAAGTATCGAACGGCCCAGTCAAAGTACAGACCCAAATGCTCTCCACCCGATCTGATCAGGCTTGAGGCATTTTACAAAAAACTGCCTAAAATGTCAAGTTCTAGAAGTGCAAAGATGTGATAAATCCATCATTTATTGTTATTTCAGTATCACTTCTCCTAATATGCAGGATTCTCCAGTGCAATAAGTGTTAGCTTATTATTTTAGCACCAGGCGTCCAGGATGTCTGCACTCTGGTATATTTGGTGAATCCATCCTTTTGAACAAATATAAAATGTTTGAGAAGTCATTTGTAAAATTTAACATCAGAAGTTACAACTTTTTCAATAAAACTTAGTGTTTGAGATGAAAATTGTGATTTTTTTATTTTATTTTATTTTTTGTGTGGTTGGGTTCATTTTTGGCAGTCCGTTCTTGCTGTGAACCTAAAGGAAGGTAAGAGTAACATTTAATAATGTTTTGTTTTGAGTTTGCCATTATCACGACTTTCACAAATATCAAAATGCTTTCCTCACATTGTGCAGCTGTATTTCCAGAGCACAAATTTTTAATACTTTGTGTTTGTCTACCACATGTAAACACATTAAAATATTTTTAGATTTGCACTTCTAAAGTCAAAAGCATTTAGAAAATAGTACGAAATATGAACATAAGGAACTATATTTTATTTGTATTTAAGAGAGATCTTTGACTCATATCCTGTTTTTAATGACTGTGACCAAAAGTTTCATAATGCATCAAAATTAAATTGTTTTAAGTGATGTGTCAGTTTTTGTTTTACATGCATTGTACCACTTAAGCACCATTTACAGCATTTGGGATTTTCAACAGAATCAGGATAAACTGTCCTCTGTTTTCTCGGACGTTGGGTTAAAAGTGATTGTAGGCAGGCATATGGTTGGACTCTCACGTGTGAACATCATCTGCCAGATGAATGCCAATAACGACACAGTGCTTTCACCATACACTGTAGGTCATAACTGTGTTTGCAGTTAATGATTGACGCAATTCAAAAGCGATCGCCTTTGTAAATAAATAAGATGTCTTGTGGTAAAGGTTTTGTGGATTCTTCATCAGTGAACTCCCTGAATACAGAAGCAAGCAATCTTCTCCATTTCAAAATTTACAGCTAAAATAGCAGAACAAATTTTGCATTTTTGTATGTCCAAGAAAAATCTAAATTCTCATTCATGGACAACCCAGATATCGGTCAGGTTACTGTTTCAGTCCCACTCTATCACCTCTGCATCCTCTCCTGCTCTGACCTTGACAGCCTATTGGGGCGTGATGAAAGCTCCCCGATCCCTGATCGCCTGTTGTGAGCCTGGGGGTGACAATTAGGCAATCCTCCGTCCGCAACAGATGAAGGACAGTATGAGAAACAATGGACAGTGTAAAAATCAACAAAATAGTGCATACCATTTAAATGACAAATGCAGTGCCTGGCAAAAGCATCCGCACACATTTCTGTCAACTTCAGATTGCAAATTTGAGTGAATTTAACTGGAACTTTGCAAGAAAAATAAACATAAAGTATTGAATAATACTGAAGTGTAATACATGGTTTTCAAAGCAGAGATTAAATTTTTCACAGGGACATTATTTAATATGAAGGCGATGGCTTAGAGATTTGGAGTAGATGAAAACCAAACATTTCATATGTTCTTTTATTTACTTCAAGTTTGGTATTTCAGACATTAACCATTTGGGAAATCTATTTTAAAGACTTCAGAGGAAAAATAAATACAGACACATCCCATGTTTTTGTTTTTGGTTTTTTATTTCAAAAATCTATTTATTGTCGTTCATATTTCAAGAGACACACAGACAAGTAGCTCACAAATGCACAAAACACCAAACAAAACCAAAAGAAAACACATTAACAACATTCAAGGTGACAAACGTACGTTGATTGCATTGAGTTCTTTAAGTTTGCTATCTCAGGGGTGCATGTTGAGACTTAGTCCAAGAGATTCAATCACAGTCCACAAGCCAGGTTTGAGATGATGCCCTCCCCTGTCTAGGCATCCAGACAGTTTTTCAGTTTCGTACATTGTGAGTGGGTACATTTGGAGTCAACCTGAAGATAACAGACTTACAGCCATAAGAAGAATAAGAACATATGCAATATTAGCTAGAGTACATTCAGTCATTCAACATTATGAGTAATTATATTTTCCAAAAATAGCTAAAACTTTTCCCATAGCTTTTTGAACACACAATGTTTACCCTTAATCATAAAGGTGAGTTTCTCCAAGGCAAGAGAGCTTGATAACGTAGATATCCAAGGGTCTGGTTTTAGATTTCCAGGAACTGGCTGTACTGTATTTGGCCTGTACCAAACAATAAATTATGGATTTTTGATCAGCATTGCTTATTTGGGTTTGAGTGGGAAAAACTCCTAAGATACACAACCTCAGACAGGGGTTAAGTTTAGTATCAACAATAATATCCCATGTTTTACTATGGAGTGATTTATTATGAACAGAACGCAAAAAGAGAATGTTTTATTAATTTATGCAAAACTAACATCTAAATTGAGATAACGGTACTTTAAGATTAACCTGTACCCGAATAAACCTGCATTTAGTTGGACTTTCAACAGAAAACGCAAGGATCATCAGGAGTGACAAACATTTCCAGCCACTCCTTCCCTCTGTTTCTCTCTCTGTTCTCTCTTTCTCCATCTCTCACTCTCTCTTGTTCTATTTCTCTCTCTTTGTGTGTTACATGCTCATCAGCACACAGGCCTGAGGCAGAGTCAAAGAGGAAAAGAGAGAGGCAGGCAAGGTTAACAGTGATTATTCAATATCTATCTCTATGTTTTGAAAATGGAAGGCAAAGGAGTTATCTAACAGAGAGAGGAATACAAATCTGAAGCCATGGCTAAACGACGGAAACTATGGGAGCTAAAAGCCAACAGAAAAAGCACAACATAAACCAGAATAGCATATCCAAACAAATGGTGACTCTGCAATGAATGAATCGAGTGTTGAAAACATTCTTCCTTGTTCCTTTTTCACTGTCAGTAATTTGTTTTGATGCTTGTCCTCTGAATTTACATAAAGTCAAATATCAGCCAAAACAAATCAGCTCTTATGTGCAATTCTATGTGTCTCTGCTCCATATGACATGCAGAGTAATATTCTTCCTGCTTTCTGTTAGTGTGTACATGCATTAATCATTACCCGCAGCAATAATTCAAGTTTAACAAATACCTTTTACAGCCACTGTCAACACACCCTGACTGAAGTGTATTGTGCGGTTACTGAATGTTGATGGTGCAGCACCTGTACCGTCCATTCGCCAGGGAAAAACATGCAAGGGTTCCAATGTTCTTGAATCATTGTGTCGTGTGTCTTTTATTTTGAAACTGTTAACTATAACAGTTGATTGATCTTGGTAAGGTTTACCATTCAGATCACTCTTATGCTATTTGTGGTATTGAGATATCTCTTTTATAAGTTCAAAGTTCATGTGAAGTATAAAAGCCTTTCTAAGCCTTGAGATGCCTCACCCAAACAGGAATGTGTGGATAAGCTTGAAGGACAGCGTCTTTCCCCATCAGATAACAAAGAAGACATTCCAGAAACTTCCAAAGTTTCATCTTAAGCAACTTACTAAACCAAATTACAGTAGAGACAGACACTAGCTATTAGCCTGTCTGTTTTAGTCACTTTAAACTTGTCAATACTAAACCTGCTAGCTTTCACATATTTCTACTTATTGCATATTGCTTGTTATGTATGGCATCAGTTTAAAAGAATAAAGTTTTTTTTTTAATTTAATTATGTCATTATGTTTTGCCAAGAAAAAGATTGCCAGCCTTGCTATGTTGAGCAAGCATTCTCCTTCCAAAACTGGTTAATCATTACTTTATTTTCACTTTATCTATTCAGTTTACTTCCAGGAAATTTTACTTTAATACGTTTAAGATGTAGTTTATGGGCTGATAATTACATAATTGAACATTTCCTGAACAACACCAGCTGAAATTGTATTTTATCCTCAGTTTTCCTATTAATAGTTTATTTAAAAGAACAGTTTTTTTTGTATTTCTACTATGTATAATTTAATTATAGTAACTGTAAATGTCATAGTCTCAACTGATTATAACTGTTACAGAGACACCAATATTTGTTATATTGGTTACATTTCATATGTGTTTTCAGGTTATTCCAGTTATTTATTTATACAGACTGGGGCTTCAATAAGTTTACTAACATCTAAAATACATTTTATTACCTGTTAAGAGAAACATTATAGCCTAGGACAAGGTGGTGCAACTCAAAATGAACTGAGATGTTTAAAAGCATGGCATATTATGTTATAAACTCCTTGGGGGAGGAATTGTGAAAGCAGTTGATTGTGTTGTATTTTACTTTATTTAGGGGTATCAGTGTAAACAAAGAGACAAAAGCTTGAAAACCGTGCATCAGCTTTCTCTGTCTTCACAATTTTTAACTACATTGTATTGGTTCATAAAAAAACCCCCAACAAAATACATTTACATCCTTAAGTTAAGTGACAAAAAAATAAAAAATAAAAAAAGTTTAAGGTGGTGTGGGCACTTTAAATCCAAGCGTTTACTAACATGTTCCAGTTATAAAAAAAAACTAAACTTGAAAATCCCAATCCCTTTAATAAATAATTTCTTTTCAGCTGTGCAGTCCAAGTTTATTTTATCCATGCAGCAGAAGTTTTTGGGAAAGTGCTTCACATCCGTTCATGCTTTACTCGCTGGTCGATGCAGGATCATGGAGCAGCTGATGTCTATCTTTGGACGACCCATCACCCTGGACAGGTCGCCAGTCCATCACAGAACTTCCCATTAAAAATACAAATAAAAACAAAAAGCCTATCATATTAAAGCTGTTCAGGATTCATTTACAACAAACCCAACAAATTTCACAAAATAAAACCTGTGCAAAACAAACCCCGCACCATGACACGCTTTAATTTTTCATTTAGTTACGAAAACAGGATCTTGAAAATTCTAATGAACAGTCATATTTGAGGACCTACCTCTGCTACATGTGATATTTAATGAGTTGAGGCAATCACAATTCAGATGACACTTGGTAGGAAACCGGGACATGCAGCAAATTAGGACATAGTATGTCGAGCAACTGGTCGCCGAGTTGGTCTTTATCTCAGAACAAAAGCTAATTTTTAAGTTTACAGAATATGTTTTTGACTTAATGATTTAGGTGCGAGAGAACATAACACCAATAATCTTTTCATTTTTACTTAGGTTGATGTGGTTGATTTAATTCACTGTTTAAGTCTATGGACTATTGTACCGACCATTTTCAAGCCACAGCTTGAAAATTAAAGGTCAGTTTGCAGAAATGTCAAATGAGCCAAATCCACATGTATCCCTTTTTCTTGGATGTGCTCCATGTCACCAGCAACATCGTATCCCAGCCAAAATAAGAGCTGGAATAGTAGAGTCCTTGTGCTGAGCTTGAGATGTAGAGGAAAAAATGGTTGTGCACATTTTTATTTGAAGGCATCTGTCTTTATGAACACTTATTCCACTTATTTGGCAGGGTTCACCTATTGTTTGGGAGGCTCTGCCTTTTTCTCCTCTTGTTTCAGAGGCTCTGCCTTTTTCTCCTCTTGTTTGGGAGGCTCTTCCTTTTTCTCCTCTTGCTTGGGAGGCTCTGCCTTTTTCTCCTCTTGTTTGGGAGGCTCTTCCTTTTTCTCCTCTTGCTTGGGAGGCTCTGCCTTTTTCTCCTCTTGCTTGGGAGGCTCTGCCTTTTTCTCCTCTTGCTTGGGAGGCTCTGCCTTTTTCTCCTCTTGTTTGGGAGGCTCTGCCTTTTTCTCCTCTTGTTTGGGAGGCTCTTCCTTTTTCTCCTCCTGCTTGGGAGGCTCTGCCTTTTTCTCCTCTTGCTTGGGAGGCTCTGCCTTTTTCTCCTCTTGTTTGGGAGGCTCTGCCTTTTTCTCCTCTTGTTTGGGAGGCTCTGCCTTTTTCTCCTCTTGCTTGGGAGGCTCTGGTTTTGGCTCTTCTTTAATGCCGCACATAGTCCTTGAAGGAAAATTTTTAAAAGAGTAAAAGTTATCAAATATGATCGGTACAATCATTCTGCAAATTCAACTGAAATAAAGATATAACATTACTTTATTTGGTCTGGGTATTCTTTCAAGAAGTTGCACACTGGACTTTTTTCTGTCAGCTGCTTTTTTAGTCGATCCAGTTCTGCATTCCACTCTGACTTCTCCTTCTCAGTTTGGCCTGTGGAAGTTATAAAGATTAAATGTTTCAGTATACTAGAAAAAAAAAGAGTTAGGGGGTTACGCATACACAAGTGTTAACACTGTTTCCAACATCTAGAAAAATAAAGCATTAATTACCTTTGAGGTTCCCCAAGTTTGTTTCCTCTGCTGCCTGCTGATCTGCACCAGATTTCTGCCAATGAAGAAGAAAATGTAAGCATATTTCTTGTCATTCATTATTTATTTCCATTTCCAAATTACAGTTTTGCTTCTGGAAACAGGGGCTGCCATATGTTGGAAAACAATGTCAATGATGTTACTCTGGAAGCAGAAGTCAAGCCTGATTTTCTGGTTTGTCCCGATCAAAGAAGTCACCTGACATTCCTTTACACAAAGAAACGTGTTCTCAAGGCTTTTGTCGGAGCAAAAATAATCTTTTAAGACTCAATCTAACTAGAAAATGATTCATAAGGCTCCCACTGTTTTAAAACAGAGGTTCGAGTTTTCCAGACATACTTTTAGATGTTAAAAAATAAATATGATTGCCCTCATTGTCCTATTATTCTGTTGAACATGCCCAATTTCAAACCAGACAGTTCAATTTGAAGATTAGACAGGTAATATATTTAGCTCATGGGGGTGGGGAGGAATAGATCTGATTATTGTTAGATATATGTCTGAAAATATTGAAAAGACCATATAGCAGAATATGACTCTTAATAGATAACTAAAAATTTGTGTCAATAGTAGTAAGTATTGCTAATAGTCTCTTCAGATCTGCGTTTTAAATGGACGTGTCAGAAATACATTGCACTAAATGATCAGGCTGATTTTATTGAAGCAACTAGAATCACCTGGGAACCCTCGCAGCCGGATAAATCTCCAGCCGCCTTCTCTGCTTTGGTCCGCACAACCTTCACTTCATCCTCCATGGCCTTCAGCTCGCCCTGAGCCTTTTCCAGCTGCTTCTCCCTCTCGATCTTCTCCTTCTGGTACTCCTGGATGACATCGCCGCTCACCCGCAGCTTGATGTCCAGGAACCGGCTCCGCTTCACTTGCTTCTCGAAGTCCGTTTTGCGGATCTTCAGTAATCCCACCAAGATAACAGACGTCAGCAACGCCAGAGGGAGCACGAGATGCACCTTCATCCTGCGCAGGAACAGCACACTTTCTTGTTTTGGGTCCTTAAGTTTTTTCGGGTCAAAGGGGTCAAGAGTTCTTCCTGCAGGTGTTCGGGTTCTTCACTCTCCATGCGCCATCCGAGAGCTCCTCAACCTGAATGTGAAAGCTCAACGTCACCACGGCGACACCTCCTCTCTGCATGGCAAATTGAAGCCAAGCCACAACTCACCTGCGTGCTGACTCACCTGAGCTGCCTTTGCTCGCCTGTTTGGATCGGAGCCGCAAGCAGGAAGAAACGCCCCCCGTTCCTGCATCGCTCCTAAAGCAGGAACAGGTTGCTGCACCTGTGTGATGTCCTGGTAACACGTCAGACACGCCACCGTTTGTCTCCCTTAAAGGGATAGTTCAGAGTTGTCGCCGTAGTTGCACGGAGCTGCCGTCTTGCCTACACTTGCTGAAGCCCGCTTCATGTCTTCTTTGCTGTAAAATAAAGTTCAGTTGGACCTGAAGGTCAAAGTGCACTTCTGCTGTCTAAATCAACTCTAATCTAAAACAAATAGCAGTTTATAGATATTTTAAAAATCTATAAACCGTCACATTTTTGGTGGTCATTTACAAATAAGTAAAAAAAAATGAAATTAGAGGCTTTGTGATTCAAGATCCTGAGAAACATGCTGAACAGCATATGTGAAATGTTATGAGTATATAATCGATATTCAAGCTGTACCTTTTCGTACCATTTTTGCATATGTGCAGGTGAAAATATTCTCAAAGGTGTCGAAATAAACTCAACATTCATTTAACATGTTATTCTAGATTAGTATGATGCAAAGGCCTTGGTCAAGGGTCAAGGGGCAGATTTCAAGAGGACACTTTAAAGTAAATAAGTAAAGCTGCATTTACTTAACACCAATGTTTTACACCACTTTACTTTTGTGCCAAAAATGTGTCAGAAATACTTCACTTGTTCCTTTCACAGAAAGATCTTTGAATGCCACACCTTGAAAAAACAACTTAGCTTTTTTTTTTTTTTTTCTTTTTACAATGGAGCTATTTTAAGATGAAGAACTCCACTACTTTTAACAAAAGCCACACAAAGCTTTAGGTTATTTTCTTGCATATGAACACGTTTAATTATCAATTAACCGCATAATATTTCCCTGTTGAACTATAATAATGTAGCCAATAAGGATAAAAAAAATCCTTATTGGAAAAAATGACCACTCAAAAGGCAATTCAAATATATGCGTTTTTCTTTTAATTTTTTTAATTCCAGGATTTAAAAAAAAAAAAAAGTGTCACCAGGAAGCAGGAGCAGGTGCGTCGACACGCCCAGCCTGCTCGGCAGGTAGAGCCGGTTGCTCCGACATTGACGTTGCTGATCTCGGGTGGAGAGCTGGTGACAGTCTGCCAGGGATGAACAAGTGACCACCGGCAGGTTTTACCACAGCAAGCGGCCCCGATCAAAATCTACCATCGATCGAGTGAGAACAGCAACAACAACAACAAAAAATATGAAGTTGGTCATTTTTTTTGTCGCCGTCAGTGTGGCGGTTATGGTCGCGATGATTTTCCAGACTCTGCGCCAGGAGCTGAATCTGCGTAACCTGAGGGCCCGCATGGTGGACAGCTCCGCGGAGGTCAAGAGGAGGGAAGACTCCATCATGGACATGAAAAATAAAATCCAGGAGCTCAAATCCGTGTTGGATAACGAGAACCTGAAGCTGGATGAGCTGAAGAAGGAGAAGACGGAGAAGGAGAAGGCGCTGAAAGAGGCTGAGAAAAGTCTGGAGACCTGCAACGCGGGGAAGGCAAGGCACAAACACTCGCGTAAAGTTTTCAGTGTTTCAGGTCCAGCAGTGGCGGTTGCTGCGTGATTTGTACCCTGGGCAAGGACCCCCTCTTTTTTTATTATCTTAGGACCTATGTAAGAAACAAGTTTCTTGAATCTCAATCTGATTAAAAGCATCTCTCAAAATGTGCACTTTCAGCATGAAAGGTTTCTTTTACTTCTTATAAGGTGCAGAATACATGAAAATGAATAATCATCACGGAGAGACATTAAGCATGCAACTGATAAATTTGTCCCCTATGTTTATGAATTTGAACATTAATTATGCACCAACAGCAGCCAATTTGATTGAAATATGCACAAAAAATATAAAAAATATTAAATACACAACAATTGAGACAGATGGAATGGGGATTTGAACCTGCAACACTTCAATTACAGGATGAACTCCTATCACTCTTGATACTGTTGTCTCTATATTATATATTGTTTTGCACATGGCCTTTTTCTTTTCCACATGGCCTTTTTCTTTTCCACACCTAGCATTCTATTCAATGCACTTGTTAGTGCATTGAATAGAAATGCACTAACAAGTGCATTTCTATTCAACACTTTAGGGAAACGCTGAACAGAAGAAGTCAGAGTTGGAGGGAGCCATAAATAAACTTAAAGGTAAGTCTAGACAGAACAAGAATACCGTCACTGAACTGTAACAATATGTATGTAAATAAGGGCATTATGTTTCCTGGTGCAGTCTGATAAAACTTGATAATTTTTCTCTTCAAACATCCTGTTTTGCAACATGGCATCATGTGCTGAATTCTAATGGCGACAATATAGCAATCATTTAGACCTGTTTCTAGGCATCAAATATAGAAATTCTCCAATTTATTTATTCATTTTTTTTCAGCTGATCATGAAGCAGCTAAGAATAAGGCTCAAGAGGAGATCGGGAGCTTGAAGCAACAGATACTGGACAGAGAAAAAGCTATTTGTGCCCATGCAGATATGACTAAGGAAGAAGCACGGTAAGATGAGTAAAGCAAAGAGCTACTGGTCATGGTGACATCAGAGCCTTATTATATCAGGTCCTGATTTCTGATTCTCTCTTTTTCTTTTTGTAGGAAACTGTGTGGACAGTCTGCTCCACAAAAATAAAATCAAATCTGCGTAATCTTGGTTGAACTTTTCCACAAGAGAGAACACCTAAAAAGAACCATCTACAAGTTTTGTTGGCATCTTTTCTTTTTTGTTTGTTTGTCTTCTTATTTTTTATATATTGTGGTCATGCACAGTTAGCTGTCTGATGGGAAAAGGGAAATAGTTTTTAACATTTTTATTTAAATTGTGTTATTCTGATTGTTTTGGTTGTATTTTGTTTGGCTTCTTGACTCTTTAAAATACTTTAAAACATATTTGTGTGGAAATGATTATTTACACAACTAGACTCAGATAATTTTCTTATCTGAAACATCACCATAGGCACAGCAGTAAACTAGTTAAAATAATGTGACGACCCTTCAGCTCAGAGGCTTAGTCCTTTGACTCCCTCTAGTGGAGAATTTTTTTTTAAATAGTGTTAACAATGGCAAAACTTTTTGTAATACTTTGGTTGTGCTTAGTAAATATTCATTATAGAAAAATGTTTTAAAAATAAAACAAACAATCTGATACTTGATGGGTTCAAAACAATGAAAACTTTACACCATTTATTTTCTGGTTATGAGTTATTTATTAAAGCTGGTCATTTTCAAAATTGTCTGCTAAAATCTTTGTGGTTTTTGAACAGGTTCATTAAATTTTTTTAATTTATTTTCTATGCAGTTTTGCTTAGTCTCTTTTTATTTTTGGTCACTTAATGTTATGTTCATGCTAACTTCCTTGCCCCTGCGGTCAGACATATAACATTTTATTTCTTATTTTTATCAATTTTTTTTTCAGAGACAACTTCTAAAAAATAACATGACTCGCAAAAACTTTTACAACTTTTTAAAAGAGAGCAGATAGTCATTTTCACACAGACCAATTTGTTTGAACTAAGGTTTATCTAAATAAAATGCCTGTAAATGTTAAGCATTGTTGGCTTTAATAATTGTTGGTAAAGAACATTTTTGTTTTTCTTCTTAAAGAAGGCGCATTTACAGAAATACATGGGAAATGAATACATTTACTATTTTATTATAGTATATCTAAATTTGAGAAAACATTTTTTTCTATTGATATATGAGTACTTTTGAAATTTATTAAAGAAATAATGAAATTTATTTTGGATTTTGGAACGAAATATATTTAAACATCAATATTGATTTCATTGTCAATTTGATTAAGTACCACAGTTAGTATCTACAACAACTTTTTGAAGTAAATAATACAACAATTAATTTTCCTCTCAAATTAATAGAATGTTTTTGAATTGAATATAATTTCATTTTCTGGATTTTGTATTCTAAGTTGAAATCTACATGCCAGGGACTAAAACATGGACATTCATTGGGTGAAAGTAGTTTTTTTTTTTTTTTTTTTTTTTACTGCAAATTAAACGGGAACAGTAAGGATGTCCAACTCATTCATATACTGGCCAACTAAGTTACTTAGTCCCTCATTTATATCACATTGTGAGATTGTAAACACGTGTCACAGAGACTGGGCTTCATGAAACTTTCCACCTCTGCAGCACATTTAGGAATTTTCCGTCTTAGTGAGTCGATAAAGCGAGCAAACCGTGTTAATAAATCTGATTCCTCCGTTTCGCGGTTTACAAAACAAGATCACTGGTTGCTATGACAAAGTAGGTGTTACAGGAAACTCTTTTCATCCTTCAACCAATCCCGACGCAGATCCCAAAGCACGTGACACGGCCCGGCACTTGCGTCGCTGTTACGGGTTCCGGAAGTTGACAGGCTGCGAGAATCATCGTGACACATGAAAGTCACCGGTAAAACAATAATACTGTTAGTTATCGGATCTAGTTGGCTTTAAAAAATATATATATATACAACAGAGTTTAACGAAGGTTTTTTTTCAGGTTTTGATTGATGTGACGGTATTTTAATCACGATGTTAGCTTTGACAAAGCGTTTTAAAGCCGTTTAGAAACAAACTCGTTATTGGAGCAACCTTCCGGTTACATCAGCTTCTCCTTGAATACAAAACAGTTTTGTTTTTCGTATTCGATTTTTCTTCAGATTAGAAATGGCCCGAAGTGTCGGTCGAATATTCAGCGGATTTCGGTGCTTCGGTTCTCTCTCATTCGGGAATCCTCGACTGAAGACACAGTGTGTTTCATTCAGGATCTCCTCGGACCGGACCTTGATGGTAGGTACCATAACAAGCTGGTTATTTGTGCTGAATGACGCTGGGACGCTCCTGCTATTCTCATTGCATCCTGAGCCTTCTGGTTAGTGACTGCACTGTCCTCATGTGAATGACAGACAACCAAAACATTACTCAGCGACTCTGTCACAGGATGAGAACAATAATGTATTTTTAAACGAGATGGATAGTTTAAATGAATGAATAAGTGCATTTGCTTCCTAAGCCTGTTTAAAGCTACTTTTTTTGTCTTACTTTGCAAACTTATTCACATTTATTACTCTACAACCATAATGTATTTTATTGGGATTTACATTTTGAAGCAGAAGGAAGACTACATGGTGTTGACAGCTTGCTTGTTTCTGCTGTAAAAATACTATCCACCATGAGACTTCCACCACCATTGAAATAGTAGTTTTTCTATCGCCACTAGCATTTTGCAGATTATTAAAGAGAAACTTCTGCATTGGTCTCTGATCAGAGTACTTTCTATAACCTCTTTCATGTGTTGTGACTTGTGGCAAACTACAAGCAGACCTCCTCTGGGTTTAGACACTGGCTTTCTTCTTGCTACTTTTTCTTAGAAGATTCATGAAGTGTGTTGCTAATAGTTGTCCTGCCAACAGATTTTTCCAGCTTAGCTGTGAATTTCTTCAGAGATACTATGTGTATTTTGGATGCTTGTTTTGACTAATCTAGATAAAACTGTCATTTGTTTTAATGTTCAGCACGAACTGCCAAAATTCTGTTCCCAAACACCTCGAGACTTCAGCCTGCCCAACTCGTCATGGGGGAAAGAGATGATGCAGCTGTACAACCATTACAACAGCCTGAGTAAGGAGGCGACAGAAGGACAAGAGGACCATGGAGAGCTGTGGACAAGACTGCCAAGCTACAATCGGTCTCTAAAGTATGCAACAGGTACAGGTGCAAACTGGGGGCTTTGTTTTGAGACAACTGAACTAGAACTTGTTTGAAGAAGAAGAAAAAAAAGCAGTAGAAATCCTGGCTTAAGTTTGCAGCTTTGTGAATTTTACAAATACATTTGCTCCTTCTTTATATTTAGATGGGAATTATGATTTAAAGCTGGGATTCTCATTTTACGGTCATACACTCAAACTAGTTGGTATTTTTTTACTATAAATGTTTTGGTCTTCAAACAAACTTGTTTATAAAAACAATTTAAATTATCAGAGTGTTTTGGATTGTTTAATTTGTCATCCAAGTCCAAGTACTCAGATGTGTGTTGTTGTGACTTTGTTTATGTCAGAATGTCAAAAATATGGCTACTCTCATAGACTTCATTGCATCTACAGTAAGAGCAACTATCAGCGCAAAACTTATTGGGGCTGCGATTTATGAAGGATCATTGATAATACAGCGCCTCAAAATGTGTGTATAAAGCAATGAAATGAATTAAAATTTTGTTGCAGTAACATATTCTCACACTGTGACATTGTTTACAAAAAATACTGTTAATTTTATTCAGTTTTTGAAGAAAGTCTAATAGGAAATTTAAAGTCAAATTCAGTTCCATCTGAAAAAACTTGATTAATCCCAGAGGGAAAATAAATGTTGTAACTGAGGTTGTGCATCCCGATCTCCCATGTGTCTTAATGAACACAGTCAGTCATGGTCTTGCTCCGTCATCTCCAGTGGTTCCACCAGAACAGAACCAGCCTTCTTCATCAGGTTGTTGAGCCTTTTAAGTCCCTAGTTTTGATGCTGCTGCCCCAGCAGGTGATGGCAGAAGAGATAACACTCCACAGCAGACTTATAGAAGATTTGCATTGTCTTGCTGCAAACCTTGAAGGATCTTTGCTTCATCAAGAAGTACAGCTTGCTCTACTCTGTCCATTCTTGTAGTTTGTCTCAGTGTTTCATTTACAGTCTAGCCTGTTGTCCATGTGAACACCGAGGTATGTATGCTCCTCCTCCACCTCCACACCTGCTCCCATCATGTCTCCTGTTTTTCTTGAAATCTGTAATCAGCTCTTTTGTTTAGTTCACATGCAAGATAAGATGATTGTCTCCACATTATGACACAAAGTGGTATACAACTCCTTTTTTTTTTTTTTTTTAGCAAAATCAGCAGCCTCACCATTTGGCACCTGTTTCAATTCTTATAAAAATGAATGTAACAGGCATGTTCTCAGTTTAGCAGAATCTTTTACTTTATAATCAAAATCTTTTTGCTTCCTTAGAGTTGGCATTCTTCAAAACAGGTCAGATAACAGCATAGGCCATTCAGGTCAGGCAGATGTGTGTTGATCTGTATCGGCAAGGACATCTAAACCTGTCTATATTTACAGTCGGAAGAATAATTTAAAAGTTCAAAACAGCTGGAGCTGGCAGAAATGAGACTGGATGAGGTCCAGCTCGTTTATCTTGTTATCATGCAAAATGCAGAAGATGGTAAGGAAGGTTAAACCAAGACAAACCCAAAGCTCACTGTAGCAAACATTGACATTATTTGGTGTTTTGTAAAAAATGTACAGATTAAATGTAGATGTAATCATTTGTTTGTAATTCCTCATTCTGGTCTTCATACACTAGTTATGAAGGACATTTATTTCAAACTAGTCACTCAGGGTTAGCTGCTGATCAGTCTGTGTACTTGTATTGTGTCTCATCAGGGGGAGTGTATCTCAGCAAGATAATCCAGTCAAAAGCTCGCCTTTTCACCCGGAACATCAGGGACCCTGGAACAGGGTTTGAGTATGTTTTATTTGTCAGAGAAGACAAGCTCAAGTGTGTGTGCATCTTCCAAGCTGGACACCTTTTGGAGGGGCCGCCAGGGTGAGCTAAAGTTTACTCCTGACCATGTTTATGTCTGAAGGTCTATATTTGTTTTCCATTTGTGTCTGAAAATATTTGTCATGTTCTTTTGCATATTTTCTTCATTTAAAGAAAATGTTCCATTTGCTTTTTGCCTCTAATAGTTCTTTTTGTCTCAAACTTTTAAAACAAAGTCTTTCTTTATTAAAAAGCAATTAAACCAATCTCTTTATCGGAAGGCGTTAAAGCCTCATTTGCCACAATACTTGTAGTTAAACTACGCAAAAATGTTTGAGAGAAATCATGTGTGCTTCCAGACATGTCCACGGGGGGGCAATAGCCACCATGATCGACACCGTCACAGGAACGCATGCCTCTATGCTTTCTGCACTGGTTATGACTGCCAACCTTAATGTCAACTACCGCAGGTAAAAAGGGATGGATGAATAGATGGCTGGATCTGAAGTTATTTCAAAATCAGGTGGACTAATATATGTGGAGAGCAGAGGATCTTTTTTTTTCAGCCTAAAACTGTTGTTTTGTCCATAGCCCCATCCCACTTGGAAGTACTGTGCTGATTGAATCCATTCTGGACAAAGAGGAAGGCAGAAAAATGTATCTTTCATGCAGAGTGACCAGCACGGACGGCTCCAAACTGCACACAGAGGCAACAGGTAACTTTCCTCTGTGTCACTTCCATTTCTGTCATGCTACCTTCTGCATTGTCACCCTTCTTCATCATCTTTTTCTCCTTGCAGCACTGTTTTTGTCAGTCAACGTCAGCCAGCTGCTGAGACAGTGAAGCAGCCTGCCAGGCTGGCATAACAGAGGCCAGAACAAGCCGGTGTGTTTGACTTTGCGAGAAATTGGTTTGGATTACGGACATATTTTCTAGACCATCTTGAAGAAACCTTGTTAAATATAATCTTGTACTACATGCTAATATGTCACTACTAACAGAATGAACTTGAATGCCTTTGCATAACAGTACTAACACAAAAACAGCACATATTGAAATTTTAAGGTGTTATTGACTGTATTTGAGTTACCCAGGGGCCTTACAGTTCGAAGCTTCCCCTGAGATATTTTGTATACAGTATTTTCTTTCTTCAAGATCAAAGCCTCTTGCGTGGATATTATTTTCATTGAAAAAAGAAAAATATGCCCATAAATAAAACCTCTAAGTTATGTGGTTTTGCTCTTTTTAAAGACCAAATATTTATTCTGTGATGTGTTTGAATCTGGGATAGGAAGTGCTTGACATTTTTTTTGCGATTCCGCTCAAGTATTTATCACAAAGAACTCTAAACCGCTTTATTTAAAAGAGTATTGGTACTGCCAGTAACAGAAAAAAAAGAGATGAAAGACTGATGCTTTTGAATTTGGTCGTGTTCCTAATGAGAAAGCGTGAGTTTCATGCTTCTTGTATTACACGTTTTACACATTTTTTAAAGCTTTGATTGTCAGGTGTGGGTTGTTAGCTGTTACTCCGCCATGTGGTGTCTGTGGTTGGTTTAGAATGTGAAATGTACCTTTTTTCACCAACAGAATATCGTAACTTAGTCATAAAGACACGAGGCCTTCAAAAACAAGTTCATCACGTCGGCCAATGCCGCTCACACTGGCACTTTGAGCGTGTGTCTGCATATAGAAGTGACTGTGGCGTGTTGCAGCGAGCCGTAAAAAGTAACGGCTTCCACATCACAGAGAGGCACGCTGCTCTGGCATTCACTGCAGACCACGAAGTTAGACAAACTGATGATGTGCAGCTGCTTTCTTTTCTTTAATGCGATGGGATTTTGAAAGAGGCATGTAATAGCAAAATGTTTAATATCTGTTTTTTGTTAACAAAAATTGGAAGAAAAAAAATGCCCCTCTTTGCATTATGGGGCTGATGAATGATTTATAAAAACACAAACATTTTATTAAAGAGAAATGTTCTTACCAGGATCTACAGGAAATGTTTTTGTAATTTTTTTTGTTTTTTTATTCTCAACTGACACAGATTTTATTTAGCCATGTGGTCATATTAAAGATTTTTTTCTCCTCTAAATGGTTTTTCTGATGCAACACAGTTCCAGTCAGATTCACATGAAGTCATGATGAGTATATGTATCAGATTAATTTGGTGCTTTTCTCAGTGACTTTCATCGGTATTCTTTCCATCTGAGGATGAGCAACAAGCACGATGCTACAAAATCCAACATTCAAACTCAAATGCATGTTGATGAAGCCACATATTTATATATTCTGGATAGAATGACACGTAAACCAGGCAAAACTATCTCCTGTTTTAATTCTGTTAGGGTTACCAAGATTATTTCTACAAGATCAATAGCAGAACAGTTTATTACTACATTCACAAGACTGCTGTAAAATTGTAAGCTTCTGATTCACTGGTGCTAAATACAATGCTACCTTATGTGACATATAAAATCCATAAGAAATCAGCCAGGATATCTGGAATAGAACTGGATCTTTACCACTTTAGCTGGCATAAGCAAAGCTTTTGTGTGCTGTCCACAAAAGTTATGGTTCTTTCCAGAAACTCAACATTAGTCTATGCCCAAAACAAGATGTGCTGTTTGAGACAAACATCACACCACATATCCAAAACCTGGATGTATGCAAATATCTGAGCCTAAATGCATGAGGGACTTGTCTTGATGGGTGACTTACTTATTTGACTTGTAATAATGACTACCTTCTAATAGAATCACTAAACTTTTAAGAGCAAATAATGGTGATAACCGTAGCAGCCTCTACACTCTATTTAACGTCAGTTCTTCCACATGTTGGTCTCCTGTGTGGTTTCTGTGTATGTATGTTCGTCGCAGCACAGGCCTGGTGAGTCTTCTGAGGGCCCCTCACATCTCTAACCTCGCTGAAGCATGCATACAAATGGAAATGCTACCTAGTTTTTAAAGTCTTTCTATTGCATGAAAGTGTGGGACAAATAAACACAAGCTTCTCTTTTTTCCCCTCTCTCTCCAGTCTCATGTGGTCAAGTTGGGTTTAAAGGAAGCGGGTGAGGGGCGGCTGTTTTCCACTTTCAGTTAAACCACCTGCAGCTTGCTCTGTCCACTGCAGCGCTTCAGGCCCATCAGTCTTTTAATGTGGGGGAACGCCATTTCACAATCCCTCGGCATTGGCAGCATGTACTGCAATCAAGCTGGCTTTTAGCAGAGCCATTATTGATCTGAAGAGAAGATGCAAGCTTTGTTTTACCGTGTGCTGTTGATAAAAGGTAGTAGATATTTGGAAACTATACTGTTTTATTAACAAGTTTTCTGAAAAAAACAAACAAACAAACAAAAAACAGTAAAATGGCTATGCTGAAACCTTTATAAGATCTTGGTAGTTTGCTTTCATTTAGTGTAATAATTTAAAGTGAAATGCTCCACCTCCAGCACAAACTGAAGTCAGTGTCAAAAGTGCAAGAAATATCGTTGAACATTTTTGGGTGAAAGACTTATGGCCCACGTTAAATTAGGCAAACTCATTAATAAACACAATAAACTCATTAATCCAAATGATTATGCAAGTAATATTTTCTCAGATTTTCTTAAATGGTCAATGCAAATAATGATCAGTATCATTTTCAAGTCACAAACTATTACAGTGTAGATCAAATTTTACTGAACAAAGCTCCCCATGAGAACAGTATTTGTTTTTCAAAAATAAAAATACTCAAAATGCACTGTTCCAAATTATGCACAACAGATTTACTAAACATTTTATGGTTTATAAAGAACTGAAAACAGTCATTCTTTGAATGTGCAGCATTAAGTGGTCACATGTACATATATCAAAAGCTATTTCAATCAATAACATCTTAACAGACCCAGTGACATGTTAACATAGGAGCCTTACTTTGACTTTACCTGCATAATTCTTGCATCCATTGAACTTGTGAGTTTGTGGAAAGTTTCTGCTTGAATTTCTTTGCAGGATGTCAGAAAACCTTCCCAGAAATGCTGTTTTGACATGAACGGCATCCCATCCTCAGATCTTCTGCTTGAGGATCCAAAGGTTCTCAAAAGGGTCAGAGGTCAGAGGAGGATAGTGACCACATCATGAGTTTCTCGCCTTTTATGCCCATACCAGCCAATGACATGTGGTATTCCTTACAGCATGAGATGGTGCATTGCTATGCATGAAGATGATTTTGATACTAAAGGTAAGGATCTTCTTTTTGAACTGTTAAAAAAAGTGATCATTCAGAAAGTTTATGTACTTTTCTGAGGTCATTTTCACACCTTTGGGGACTTGTCACTACACTATCCGATGATTTTCAGCTGCAGAGAGATCCTTTCTCTTTCCCATATTGCTTGAAATCTGTGGCCTGCTTAATAATGTGGAACATCCTTCTTAAATAGATTTTCTTTAACTGTGCTCACCAGACAAACTAATCAACCCAGCTCTCTCAAATGAATTATAGTGAGAACCCTGACACACAATACCATCTATACATTTAATAGCGCAGCAAAAAATAATTCTTTATGACAATTTAATCCAATTTGCATGATAATTGGAAACATAGCGTACATGTGAAATTAATCTTAAATTTTACTTAAACAATTTTACTTAAGCATTAATTGAAATAATATTTATTTAAATCTACTTTTTAACTTACGTTGTATTGTGAGAAACAGGTTCTTTGAGCATTTATCTCTTATTAACATTTATTTAAATGTAACTTTATATCATTTCCATTGACCACACTTTGCATAAAAATATAACCAAAGTCATTTATCTGCATTTCTAAATGCATTTTTAGATTCTCATTTGTCTTTTTTCTGTTGGCTGTGTAGCACCAAGTTTTGCCTCCTTGAGTAAAAGTTGCAGTGACACACAGTCAACAAGCCCAGACATTCAGAACCAGCTCGAGCTGGAGCCGCTCTCTGCTTTAGTCTGGACCCTGCGTAAGCACTGCGTCTCATGCACAGAAACATCTGATCATGTAAACCGAGAACACATATTGATTATTCATCATTTTCTTTGTCTTTCTGCTGTTGTAAAAAAGACAAAAAAAAAGAAAGAAAGAAGCAGGGATTAGATGCCGTCGATAAAGCGAATCCCTGCAGAGGTGTGCGCCAGTTGGTCCTTGCAAAAACAAACCACAAAGAAAGGCTTTCACCCAAGCGCGCTCGTACTGGCACACGACATGAAATCAACAGGAATGCCACGTCCCCGCGTTTTATTTTGTCAATTGGACTTTTGTGGCAGCAACATGGGATTATATTTCACAGCCGAGCACTTCAAAGCAAACCCGATCCGCCGGCGTTACGTAACAGCCGGTGACATAACTCTCTCCAGCCCGGCCTGGGACGGCCGGGGCGCGCTGGAGGGGGCTGGGGGCGAGAGCAGCGGGGCTTGAGAAGCCACGGCCCGGCCTGATCCAGCTGCACTCTCCGCGCTGCCGCTGCTGCTGCCACGGGGGTGAGAGCAATTATTTCACAACAGCCGCACACAGGAGAAAAAAGAGGAGGAGGAGAAGGAGGAGGAGGCGCGCTGCTAGAAAGAAAGAAAGAAAAAAAAAACAACATGAGAGGGGAAGAAGAATGATGGTTGAGTTTTTGGATCTGTGAGGCCGGAAAGAGGAGAGATGGCTGTGCACGTTTTTAAATGTCTGCGCCGGCCCGGGCGCTAGAGCGGCCAACAGGTAGCATGTCTTCTGTCATCTTGATCTCCAGCTCAAATAGAGGAAAGCAAGTGGAGTTCAAGAGAGGTTCGTTGACTTCTGGTTTGCTTGTGGCCGTGTGGGGGTGAGAGGTGAGTGAAAGTGTGTGTAGGCCCATCCAGCGCCGTGACAGGAGCGGCATGGAATATGAGGAGTCAGACTTTCTACCTGCAGACACCCCCAGAAAAAAAGGTAAGCCAGATCTGATCCAGCACCAGGGCCGACCCGAGGAATACGCAAACCTGGGGCCCCCTGTTGGCCCCCAGAGAAAGTGTAATTAGCATCTGCACAAAGGCCCATCTCAGCAAATTATTATATTATCATAATAGTAGTGTATTTCATAATTTCACTCGAACAGCTAAATGTATGTTATTGTACATTCACTGCGGTGAGCTCTTTATTTCGAGAGTTTGTTTTTGTTCAGTCTTAAAAATTCAAAATTCATTGTCTCAAGAAAAAATATACTACTAACGAAAAGTGTTTTCATAATTTGATATATCCAGACAGACAGAATCACAGCTGCTAGCCCGAAAGTCATCCAGCAGGCAGACACACAAGCGTCCATGCATGCTAACAGAAAGTTGAGTGGAAGGAAGAAGTGGGATGGTTAAGAGAAGGTGTGTCTGTTAAGCCCTTCTTGAAATAATGCCAGAAATGGGTCCAAGAAGGAAAAGGACTGGACTATTGCTCTGTGGTCCAAAAGTCCTCTCCTTAGATAAAAGTAAATTTTCTACAGATGCAAATAAAGGGTTTAAAGTCCAGAGGAAGAAAAGAGAGGGAATAAATCAATTTTTCTTGGAATGTGAATCAATTTTTGATTCACATCCATTATTTAAGCATTTTATGTTTCCTTTCTGGCAATAAAAACTATTTTATTGGCAGTTTAATAAACCTCTCTGCATTGAAATGAACACTGACTGTGACTGTCTTATGGGGAGCCACATGTATAAATAGAAAAACCTTCAGAACTTAAAAAATATATACTCACAGAGTCATAGTGAGTTAAAACAAAATGAACATTTTAGGGTCTTGGCTCTGACATTTTATTTCTGCCCAATGCAGTTTGACTCCAGGCCTCATGCAGCCTAGCCTAAACTAGCTTTGGTGTCAGTGCAGGAAAAATACATCTAATTAAACTTTGAGTTCAGTTAGAAATGGCAAAAATAAAAAAGGTGCTTCACCTTTTCAATTCAACAGCTGTTACACATACATTTTGATTTGGTATTTTAATGAACTAATTAAAGTAGCTGCCCCTTTGAAATAGCATTGTAGCTACATTGTTTCCACCACAGACTTTTTTTTTAAATGAAAGATTTTTGTAGTTTTTGTTGCAAGAACCGATACTGCAACTAATTCATAAATAAATGAATCCTTACATTATTCAAATTACAAGCAGTTTGCTTAATCAAATAAATCCATGATCGTATTTCTCAACATGCCATACTATATGTCCTCTTCCACACACTCTTTATCTCACCTTTCCGCCACTCCCATCTCTCACTATTCTTTACCCCAGTAACCCTGTTTATCCCAAACACTGGGCAGCAGCAAGGTGCCCTGAGTGGGTAAGAATGACACTAAGACAGCGTAATCCACTGGGATTAACCCTTATTTTTGCTTCTGCTTGTAGCCAATGCCTTTCTATTCTGAGCAGCCACTTTCTATAATCAAACTATTAGCTACCATGGCAAGATAAGACCGCCCGTCCTTCTGCTGCAGAAACCCACTGCTCATCGTTCGCACAATGCAGGGGGGCAGTTTCTTAAGGACTTTATAGGAATAATAATAATAATAATGCATAAGTTAAAAGTGCACAATTCAGAAGAAGACACTTTCCATCTGTATTTGTTGGAGAAATTGCATCAGGAATGTGATGCTTTATCAAACATGTAGCTGATGACACTTCAGTAAAGCTGCAGTAAAGTCTGAGTTCAGCATTTGACTTTTAGTTAAATCTCAAAACATTAAATATGCTGTAATTAATTCATTTGAATTAATTAATTAAGTGAATAGTTAATGCATACACAGTGATGCTTTTTAGATGACAGGCAATTTCTTTTCATTAATGAATGTTTTTGTCATTTCAATTTATTCAATAAAATACAAACAAACATTAGCACACATACACACTACAATGACAAATTTAAATATTAACCCTACATGCTTATTTCTGGATTATAGGAGGGAGCAACATGCACATGATCCTGGTCAGAGTTTGAGGGAAAAGCATTTTGGTTGTTTGCTAAGAACTGCCCCTCCATGGCAAGTTGTATTAAAGCCCACCTGTGACAAATTCTGCTGACTCAACTTGATTTAGGAAGGATTACGCTTGTGTACGGAAGGTTTCATAACTGGCATTCATGTCAGAGCAGAACATGAACAATGGAGGCAGAGGAAATGTTTGCAGACCTCTGGGATAGAATTGCTTTAATGTCAAAATCTAAGGAAGAATACTAATAGTGAAATTACCTGAACTGAATGTTATGAATAAACAGATTGCGGCAGAGAGAGGCTGAGCAATAAGAGCTCAGGGAGGTGAATGAGAACAACGGGCCCCGGGTCCACCCCCACTAAAAGGCTAAAGCTTTGCCAACAAGCAACTTAGAGATTATTCAAACAGCAGAAGATTTATTTATTTACGGGTTTTTTTTTCTGTATAATGAGGCCAAAATAAATAGTCTTAGCTCCAGTCCTCAAGTCGGCTTGACCGACAGCCTCTCTTTTGTGAAACTGTGATGGCAGCATCATGCTGTGGGAATATTCTTCTGTGGCAGAAACTGAGGAACTCCTTGGCATATTGACGTGAGATGAAATGTATCAATATTCTTAAATATTGCATGACACCCTGGATCTCAGTCTAGCAACGATTCATCTATAACACAGGTGTCAAACTCAAGGCTCGGGGGCCCAAATTTGGCCGGCCACAGCTTTTTATTTGGCCCTCTAGACCCCGAATTACATCAATAAGTCCTTACAGTTTTTCACAAATCTGCAAAATTCCTACAAAATCTCCAAATCTCCAATTTTTTTTACTGGTTTTTCTACAAATTTTCTCAAAATTGGTCAAAAACATTGGGTTTGAGTAACTGCTGCCTCAACCTTACTTGATTTTACCATCCATGATTGATACAGTGAGTAATAAAAAGTCACATTTAACATCATACATTAGTGCAAATATCGTAAAAATTCCTAGCAAAAGTTTTTTAAATTCTTTAAATGGCACTACAAAATTTACAATTTTCATTTCAAAAAAGTCATTAAACGTTCACAAAATCCTGGAGGAACAGCGACTTATTGATATTTCAACAGTATAATTGGTTTTCTCCATATATTCCTGCACAACCAGACCTTTATGAACATTCAGATTTTTGATATGGCCCAAAATGAAAATGGGTTTGACACCAATCATGTAGAAGTCTGTGGATGTTTTATGATGGCCAAGATCAGTTAAATCTAGTTGAATATCACCAAAAAAATAAATAAATAAATAAAAAGCTATTTACTGATGAAGCCCATCTAACCTGATTGACCTAGAGAAGATCTGCAGAGACCAATGGGAAAAACAACAAAAGACAGATGTTACACATTTGTAAAAAAAAAAATACTAAAGAAGACCTAAAATTGCAATCTTAGGGTCTTCTTTAGTATTTTTTCAATACTTCAAATAAATGACTTTTTTTTGTCTCTAATGTCTAAATAATAATTTGCTTAAATAGTTACAAAAAAGTCTTAAATCATGTTTTTCACTTTGCTATGGTCATTATTTAAGAACTATAGTTTAATATCACAGCATGTTATGCTTTCTGCTCTGGATATGACCTTTGATGCACCAAGTAATTCAACTCAGCATTCACTTGCAGATGACACAAGACCAAATTTGATCGAATTTTAGAGCAGCTGGAGGCAGAGCTGAAGCTCAAACGCTGTTATGCAACACACACAGTGTTAAGTAGAAGTGGAAAAAGACAGTTTTAACGAGATCAGAGCTACTTAGAAGGAAACAAAATGTTAAAACTGGATGTTAAGGGGCTTAAGGACTTGGAGTAAAACAGCATCAGCTTACTGATCAGGTCCTGGAAACCGGTTTATTCAGGGTAAAGCGGAGAGTCGGCGTGTCAGCGCTGCTCTTGTTCGGTTTCATGCTGCTGAGCCGGCTGTTCTTGGGGTGATGAGTTTGTTGGGTTTTGTGGCTGTTGTGGGTGTCTTCTCATATTTCTTAAGCAATTTTGGTGTTGCTCACAAAGAAAAACCCTCTTTCCTTTTCAGAAATTAATTCTTTGTGTCATCACTGTGGATTCTATACGCTTCATCGGTTCTGCAGCCGTTTGTGAATCTGACATTGGTTTCTTTTGCTGTGGCATCCGGTTGCAACCCTACTTAAATGTTGCAGCTTAATAGTTATACTCTTCTCAGCTATTCAAGAAATTAAGCAACAATGTCTTAATGATTGTTGTCTATTTCACAAGAGAGTAAACTCTACTATTATTCTTATAAATTAGAACTTTTTCTATGTATTTTTTTGTAATTAAGAAAACATGATTTTTACTAGAATTCAGTCTCATCATGATGCATGTTGAAAGCCTAAAATGTTTAATACATTTTCAACAATTATTATTTTTTAAGTTCTGAGCTGCCTGGCTGAACCTGGAAAGGCTCATTAGCTCTAAGGGCACAGAGTTAATGCCATTTGTTGGTCAACAGTCCAGATTAATCCTCATCCTCAACCAAGTTATCCTCATCAGGCTTTTATATAGTTACAATTAGTTCCACTTTTTTGTTGCATTTTTTAAAATTTGATATGTTTTTACAATACGATTTATTTTTTTTCCTTTTAATCAACAACGAAGTCATAAAAAAAACAAATGTTTTTATTGTGAAGGTGTGTTTTTATTCAGGCAAACTTGTTGTCCTCCTCTCCAGGCTCAGTGGTCTCCAGTACTGTTATGTAATGCAGCGACTGTGAATTCAGTAGCAAGCTTCGATGTCAGCGCGCAGACAAGCCAGTGAAATTTTGACTGATGCGTTTCTCCAGCAGCCGGCTCCTCTGTGGAGGCTTAACGGCCACCCTGAAATCTGGATGTAGCTGAACAAGTTTTCACCTAATTTTACAGAAATACAGCTAGGTTTTATTTTTCAAAAGAAAGACTCATGTTTAAGACACAAAAAGAAAAGGAGCAATCCTAATTTTTGCTGTTTCGTGCATTTCTTTAATTAGTTAATCGTCCTAGTAAATGCTAAATTCTATTGTGAAACGATCAAATGAAAAAAATGTAAGAAAATTGCATCTCTAAAAGTTGAAAAACAAAACCTTTTGCTAAACAATCCCTTTAAAGCGCCTGCCTAGCTGGTGTTGACACGTCTTTTTTTAATTTTCCGTGCGTGCACTGCTCTGCTTTCATTCCATACTTTCTGCTTATGAAGCAAAACTGATTTGATGAGGGCAAGAAAACAGAGGAAACCACAGAAGACCTGAAGTGGCGCCAGACAAAGGCCGGCAAACTCTGCGCCTTCCATTGATACTTATCTGCTTTGCCTTAAAACATCTCTCTTTCTCTCCTTCTCTTTCTCTTTCTTTCTCTCTCTTTCTCTGACTAACACACACACACACACACACACCCCCCCCACCCCCCACACACACACTGATGTGTATGAGTCCAGAAATAAACTCTTTGGTTCAGAACCGACCCTCTCTCACACCTACTGCAACACAAACTCTCACAACTGCGGTCAAACAGGCAGACGAAAAGGTGGACCAGTTGTTTCGCAGACACCCACCTTCCTCTGCCTTTATCTCCACCGTGTAAATGCACTGAAGTGTCACGAACAGACACCAGCGTAAATAGGAATCTGCTAATTTAACCACTTTCACCCAGAATTCTTACCTGTCCAGTTTGTGCACCAGAAAGAAAAACTATCTTCCTTCCAAACTACCCGATAGGAAGAGGATTTGATTTCAATTTAAGAAGTGTAGCGGAATTGCTTTCTGTAACTTGTTATTTAATTGTTAGGACATCCTAAATGTTCAGGAAACGGGCTGCCATGTTTAATTGCCTGTTTGCTCATGATGGAGGATGTTGTGATTCTGAATTCAGACATCTCTGCAGTTGGCACATCGGTACGTTGTCAGCCACCTCATCACAGTTAGTCATGCTGCAGCGAAGGTTTCGGTGGCAGAAGCATTTAGGTTATTCATGTAGTGAAAGACAGTATCAGTGTACTGTAAGTTGCTGAAACATTAGAAGTAGATTATCACGATGTTATGGCAAGATAGTGATTAGTTCGTATCATTTTCTCCAGATGGGAGCTAATTTGGTCTTGATAGCGTTAATTGTGTCGTTGTCTCCATAATTATTTCCGCAGGATACATTCTTAGTGTCAAAGAGTTGTTTATCTGTGTTATTATCTTGTGATTACATTTTAAATATATCATTTTAAATAAACTGCAACTGTGACAGTTGAATTCATCATGTAATTGCCCACACATTACCTAATTTGTGATAACTCAAATTCTAGGATAACTCAGAATGAGATGAAATAGAAATATGAGTAATTAATCACATCTTGAAATAAGAGCTCACTGCGCCTTGATGACATTTTACATTTTGTCTTGATCTCAAGATATTGAATTTGGGATAATAATTTAGTCGATTTAGTTATACCTCATTTACTCAATATGACTAATTTAGTGGCATTTTGTTGTAGTCTTTTGGCCCTTCTTGTGAAATAAATACATTTATATAATTGTCATAACACTTTTTGTATTAATAGTTAAATATTTTGAGACAGCAAAGTTTATAATTATAAATTTTTCGTTAACACGTTGCTGTTGCAGACCATCAGCTCCTGCCATGATAAGAGCGGCTCTTTCTTGGCATGCAATGGTTATCTCGTGATCTTTAGCAAACAAGGCTCCTTTTCTCAAGATATATAGAGAGATAAGCAGGCCTTCTTTCTGTTTTACTAAGCTCACACAAGTACTGTTGTTGTGTTTTGTCTAACTTTATTTAAAGAAAATGTGAAACGTTCTGATGATTGTGTTGGCAAAGGCATAGTCTGAGTTTGACGGACATGATTGTGATTAAATCTCTTACGGATGTATCAACATGTTCTTACAATGTTGTTTTACTTTTTTTTTTTTTACATTTCATATTATTTGGAAATGTTGACAATTTGCTGTAATGCTCAACTGAGACAGTCAGGAATCCATATTGTTGTTTTCTTTTAATTTCTGTATTTTGAGCTAAATAATATTTACTGTTTTCCCCAGGAGGCGTCGTGTCCAAGAAGACTCATTTGAGTAAGTCGTCTGTGTTCAAACCGTCTCTGTGCGTTAGCCTCACATGATGTGTGTGTGTCTGCATATGGTAATGACATTGCTCGTGTTTGTGCTAGATATTTGTGCATGCACTGCGGTTAACTTCATAGTTTGTGAACATGCAACTTTGCACCTGTACAGCAAACACACACTCACACACACGCACACACACCTACACACACACCTACACACACACACACACACACACACACACACACACACACACACACACACACACACACACACACACACACACACACACACACACACTCACATATTGGTGTCGCTGGGGTTGAGCTATTAGCAAACCCGGTGAGGGTTGTGTGTATTGCACCTGTGCAGCCCCCCTCCTTTTTCCCATGTACAGGCACACACACTCAAACACACACAAACTCCAGTTACTTTGGCATCTGAATGCAGATGAGAGCGATAGCATCTTGTCTTTTTTTAACTCGTTTGGTTTAACACTTTCTGCCACAACTTTAGCACACCTGGCCGTGTTATCAAGTGCGGGATGCTCTGCGTAACACAGCTTTTGTATTAAGTGGTGCGCTGATAAACAAGCTGAGGCTGAACGGTGATAAAGTCACTAGAAATGTGAATGAAAATTAGACCCAGAGCTGTTAAAGCGTTGGTGTCCTTTTTATTCATCATTCAGGTGCTTCAGAAGGAGAAATATCAGTGTGGGTAGACAAAGAAATGTACTGAGAAAGTAGGGGTGTTTTGCCTATTTGCATATTTACCCAAACACTGTTAATATAGTTTAGAAATTCAGACGTTTTTTTAGTTTTAAGTGTTAAAACTTACCCCTGAGACATGTTAAAGATAGTTTAAATGTGAAAATTATTAGCTTCCTTTGAAAATATGTGATGAATCATTAAATAGTTATTACACACATGCCCCTCACTATCGTCAGCAGGGCCCTCTTTTCCAAAGTTTTACACACAGTCATGCTAATCTGTCTAATTTTTGTGATGAGAAAAAAACCCATTAGAGGTGGAAAATATACAAAAACTGATCTCTGATAACCTTAAACTAGAGCATTCTTTCTGCAACTTTTGACTCATCCTGGTGATGCTAACAAATTAAATCTGTCTTCATCTTGAGATTGGTTTAAAACTGACTGGCACTAATCCATGCTGATACCAACCAGGTCTGTCTGAAGAGAAGATACACCAAGCATGATACTGCCACCACCACTTCAGTGATATCCAGTCTTGTTGTTTGTGCCAAATGATTCTTTTGAAGCTGTGACCAAAAAATGTAAACTTTGAAAAGTTTTCGCCAAACCCGGGTGTTTTCTTTGGACGCGAACTTCCAAACAACTCCTCCTTTCAGTGAAAGCATATCTCATGAGAAACACAACTTGCCTTTCTTTACTTAGCAATCGGTATTTTTATTTTGTAAGTAATGCTGTCAACTCGTTCCTTGACTAATACCTTTTTTTGAAAAGCTCCTTTTTGTTTCAGCTGAGAGGTGAAAACAAAGAATATGTTCCGCTAATCAGATGCACAGCAAATGTCTTTGTGGATTAAAGTGGTGCATCAAACAACAAGGTGATTGCAGCTCTCTAGTTTTTAAAACACATTTTGCCTGTAAATTAAGGGAGAAACTTACCTGCAGATCTGCAAGCTAAGCTGAAAGCTTTGGAGTAAAAAGGAGCAAATATGTTGCATGAACATTTGCACAAGCTAACAGGAAAGTAAAAGTTTTTAACATCGTTTGCACGGCAGGAATGAAATAAAACCCAACGTCGTTTCTACAACCAGTATGTTTCAGCTGCATCGTCCAGCTACTCCTGTAAACTGAGGACAGTTTTATTCACATGGAGGGACTGAGAGGCACCAGACATTATGAGAGGCATTTTTTCTACTCATGTGTGTTATAGAGTGAGGGGGTGCAGGATAACAACAAAGGCATAAGGAAAAAAAAAGTACCTTGAGAAAAAAAAGTCAAGACAGGGGACAGTCCCCCCCTTTTTCTTTGTCTTATGTCTCTCTCTCTCACACACAGAGAAGGCAGGTGAGGCGGTGACTGTCACTCAAAAGTCTGAATATGTGTGCTGAAGCTGCAGTGAGTACCTGACCCAGCTCTCTGAAGGACGAACAGGAAAAACAAAAAGAAAGAAGGCAGATTAAAAGATATTGTTCACCAAAGAAAAAAGAAAAGAAGTGATAGACGCCAGGCAGACAAAGTGAGAGGAAAGTAGAGTTTGTGAAAGTGGGACAAACGTCTGAGACGAGTGGAGGAGTGAGGATGATGCGAGGTAGGGATGAACTTCTCCGGTCCGTATCTGTGTGTGAGTGTGTGGGCAGAGCAATCAAAGATATTTAATCGGGTAAATTAAGAGTCGATGCTTCATGGTGCTTCAAGTGCTTTTGGTTTCAAGCAGCAGCGTTTCTATTCTAGCTTTCATAAAATACTTGAAATAAGTTTCCCTTCATGCAGACACCTGTCGCTTCAAACAGCTCCCTCACGCAGCTTGATTAAGCGTTTTGTTCTGTCTCTTTTTTTCATGATGCAGTTATTCCTCAAAACCTACTCTGCTACAGCTCTGAGGATCTCTCATACTTTGCTTTGGATCTTCTACGGGTTGCATTTTTATCTCATAACTGCTCTCTATGAAGCCTGGTGTTTTGAAACTTATTTGTTCTCTCCAGAGTTCTGCATTGGTTGACTGTTGGCGACATTCACGCCGATTGATGTGTTTCGCTTCTGTGCTTTGGTAACATGATTCACAGTTAGCTCCCTTTGATGGCTTTAAGATTTGAATCATTGCCATGGTTATTTCTGCCCACAGCAACTGTACAGCTCACGTATGGCATTTCGTTCAATTCAGAGAGCGACAATTCAAAGTGAGGCGAGAAACACACGAAAGGCTGCCTGTAACGCCGCGTGTCTGCCCTTGTTCCGAGTGGTTTACATTTTTAGTTGTAGCATTCCACTGACCGAACTGAATTGTTCATGAAAGCATAAAGTGGAGCAGGCTGAAATGTGATGTTGCAAGCCTGTTCTTTGCATACCCTTCAAATGAATACAAATTAACGGAAAACAGGATGCAACCTGACCGCAGCGCATCAGTTTAAATGGACTAACTCCAGGCAGACGCGGAAGACCCAACGCGCAGTCAAAGTGATGATTGAACAAGAAGAATGTCGTCTTCTGGTGTTGTAGGAACAGAAAGGTGAAAAACTGAGAAGCAGCAAGTTTTCTCGTGCAAAGCTGCTTAAATGGTTTTGCTGTTGCAACCTGCAGATACACACACACATGCGCACGTTTACACGCACACACACCTTTGCAGCTGCTTTTAGATGGCGCCTAGATGCAGCCTATCTCTCTCCTGCAGCTGCACTGTGGATACTGTGAAACCATAGAGCACCCTCCAACTGATGGAGATATTACTAAATATTTCTGCCTCTTAGCCGCAGCAGGTAAACCTGTTTGCTCCCTGAATTTGCACACACGCACACACACACACACACGGCTCAGTTAGTGCATTTTGTGGGATTCCTGTGCAGATCTTAGAGTTTTTTTTTATCAGAAAAAGGATTTCCTTGTTCCTCCCGCTGCAGAAAACTTGCACACAACTCTTCCAAAAGCACCAGAAGCGGTTTTTCGTCAGATCAAAGCCGACTTCACAATCGCAGGTGACACATTCTCCCCAAAATATGGTAAATGAAATACAGCAGTTGAGCTGATTCATACTCACTGCCACCGTCAAAACATGAGTTTTGTCTAACACCTCTGAAATCAGAAGGAACTTCAAAGTCCCGGCAGATGTGAAGTGGTGCTCAGATCGGCTTTAATAATTCCCCTGTCCCTCAAAAAGGATACCGTGGGCAGTTTTCCATCTTTGTTGTTTATTGCCACAAAGCAGCTGAATGAGTTATTGATCATTTACAACCTCACTTGTTTCAAAAACAAAAACCTAAATAATCATACAAATATATCAGCAAATATATCTAAACAAGATGTACTTTGGAATAAATCAGTCATGCAGAGTGCTTTTAAATCACTCACTTATGATGTACTGGTAAAAATCTTTATTTTCATTTTCATCCAAATTTTTTGGCCCTTTTTCATTAAAAACTAAATTTGTTTTGTTTTAGAGTTGCTATTTAAAATTTCAATGAAGTAAAATAATTAATTACTAATTCTCTATTCATTATGACATAATTAATCTCCTGTGCACTTTAAAACCACTTATTTTGGTAACGTATTTCACATAAAGAAACTCGGAAATGAATATATTGTCAAATGAATGTTCAGAAAATAATTCACTTTCTATATGCTATCTTACTTATTTAATTTCTTGGTTGAGAATGGTCAAACAATTTTTTGTTCTCAGAATATTGTTTATACATTAGGAAACATTTTGATCTTCTACCCAAGTTTACCTGTAAGTCTTACCTGCACATATTTTTTGATTATTCCAATGACTTAAATAAAGAAAACAAATTCAGAAAAGTATGTAATCCATGTTGCAAATAAAGACATGAAGTGATTCTAAACTACATTTTCGTTTTCTGGCTAAAATGAAAATAGACTTTGATTTTCTGATAGTCTTTTTGCTCTGATTAAACTCTGTTTTTGAGTGTGAGCGTGTTTGTGTGTGTGTTTTGTGTACATACAAACTTTGGTTGCTGCCTTGCTTGCGTTTGTAAGCTTCCTTTAAGAGGAAAGCGAACAGTTTTTTTTTTTTTTTACAGTGCAAAGAGCAGATTGCTTACAGGGTGATTTAGGGTGAATTGATTTTAGAGTTGTGCGTAATCAGTAAAGTGTTTTTCTCTGTTGTTTGTCCTCTCCTATGTAAAAATAAAGTAGCCTTAAATCAATCTTACACAACTTTTAGGGCTAAAAGCTCTCACAAATAAAATCTTTCTGTTAGATTTCCTGAGTATTTGACTTTTTTAAATGTAGATATTTTTTTGTTTAAAATGTTTTCCATACCTGTAGCTCACTAGACTAAACTGAATCTACTT